ATATATATATATATATATAACACACACACACAAACAAAAAACAAAAAAAATCTCACCTTTTGAGTCTTCAAACTCTGAATCTCATATTGCAACTGTTTTGTTGCTTCATCACCTCTGGGTCTTTGCACGGAGAATTGAGACTTAATTTCAAGCTTATTCTTCAAATCCGCAACCTGGATAAACTGATTCTAGTCAAAGGCTATGCAAAATTTTGTTTGACGTACACTCACTATCTAAACTATAATTAACCTGGTCTTCAAGGACAGTCAGCTTTTGAAGATACTCTTCTTTGAGCTTCTGGGAACTATCAGTAGGAGTGGATGAAGAATTTGCAAGCTTATACCTAAGCTCTTCAATCTCCTTCTGCCAAAATTCTCCAGAAGAAATGTAAGAAACTTTCGCAATACTTAGAAATTAAAACCCACATGTTAAGAAATCATTAAGAAAGAATACCTAATGTGTTTCATTTCCTTTTCTTTGAAATGCATTTTAATTAGAATTTCATGCGCTATCCACATATTGTTCCATAAAATGTTTAAAAATATTTTAATTCAAACAATCTGAACTTTTTCATATTTGGCTTCGATTTAAGATGGAGAGGAACTTAAAAGACTCAGCATTCTCTTGATTTAAGTGAAAAACCCCCAAATTTTCCTCAGAAATTCAAAGCAGAATCGAAACAATTATACGAATACAATTCTTTTTTCACTCATTTCCCTTTCCATTTTTACAACAATTTTCTCCTCGAGAGGACAGACTCGAGCTTCAATTCCCAATTCCCTCAAAATCGCAACAACATTTAGAACATCTAGGGTTCCAGTAACTCCACGTAACATCATCACACTCATCCAAACAAACACCGCCGCTTCCACCTTTACTTTTCCTACGATTTCTCGCAAACCAAACAGACTCCTCCAGCCACAATTCAGAGCACAAACTCGAAATATGGATAATCGAAAACATAATTTCACCTACCTGATAGGATTCATTTTCCAGTTCGAGCTCGCGGACTCTGTTCTGGCAATGTCGGAGATCATCTCCGCTGCAGTCGGCGTCGGCCGATCCACGCCTCGTCTTCCTCATGTAATGGAGAGAAAGAGAGAGAGAGAGAGAAGCCTTTCTCCGATCAGCGTGGAAGTAAAACGCCGGCGAGGGACTAGGGTATGGCTCGGTGGAGCTCCGCCTATAGGATCGGATGGATTTAAAAGAAGTACTTTGCAACGCTCCTGATATAGTGGGTGGGTCTGTGAAGAAGCTCGTAATGATTGCCACGTCATCGCTCGTGTTGTAAACATGGAGGGAACAATTTTGATTCAATTTTGCCACGTCGGATCAAGTGAACGTTGAGGCTTAAGGACTGTTCTGTACTATCCGCTTTTCTTTTCTTTTCTCTTTTCCTTTTTATTTATTTATTTATTTATTTTGAATGGTCTAATAGGAATGCTTAGTAGTTAGTGCACACATTACACACCTATCTAATGGATTTTTTTTACCAAAAAAAAATAATCTAATGGATTGAAAAGGAATCATATCTTGATCTAGACTTTATGTGAGAGCTTTTTACTGTAG